TAAAATTAGAAAATTCAAATGCATACACTGGGTAGTGTGTAAGAACCCTTTAGGTTCAGGTTGGTGTATCTCTCGAGACTAAAAATGCATGGGAAACAGAAAAATGCATCTGTTGCAGAAGGATACCTAGAGGAGAGCATCTCTTCTAGAAAAAGAGCCTCTAGGTTAATTTGGATTCATTTACGATTTTGGGTGAATCCTCGTTTGGTTGTCAAGGTACTACTAGTGGTCAAGTTTTCTCATTAAGAGTTTCAAGAAACACGGAAATCTTCGGATCGGAATTTTGTAAAAAAAAAACTATCCATAAATTTTTTAATTTAAATAATTATTTTTTAAAATTAAATTAGCAGACGATAACCATATCCAAAGCCAAAATTAACTAATAAAAGAGAATTGAAAAATCAATTCAGTGACAGAAATAGTCCAAAACATAGTTCATTTTTATCTCGACATTGTTAGTTTGAGGTACAGTTTTTTTGAAGAATGCTAAATAAAATTAATTTGTAAAAAAGTAATTTTTGAAATATTCAGGAAACGACTTATTACTGAGGTCTTTTGGTGTTTAAGCTAATGCTACACAACTGATGCATACCATTTGTGCACGCGGCAGACTTGTCCTACGGAAAAAATGTAAACAACTATTATTGTAAAACATTTAGTAAATTTCAAGACAATTGTTTTCCAGTTTTTAAATAAACAAAGTAAAATATATCGATTTTGTAGTACGAAGATAGTGTTGTGCTTAAACTTAACTTTTAATCAAATTATGAATTTGAAGAATATGTCATTAAAGTACCCAAAGATTCGCATCATCCAAATAATCATACGTATTAAAAATAATTTAAGTACTTACCAAAAAGCAAAATTCAGTAATTTTTATACGCACAAGTATAAAACAATCTACAACATATGTTCAAAATGTCCACCATCATTTTCGATGCACGCACGACACCTTCGAATTCCATTTTCGCGCACTTCCTGGAAAATACCCGGATTTATCCTTATTTGATGGACAGCGGCAAAAATTCGTTCTCGCAAGTTTTCGATTTTTTCAACCTCGCTGTCATACACTAAGTTCTTCATATTATGTCCCCATAAGTAAAAATCTAGTGGATTTAGATCTTGTGAACGGGCTGGCCTACGATGGGGACCGTTCCTGCCTATCCAGCGATTTTTTTAAAGTATCATTTATATATTGAACTACGAGTCGATTTGCATGTGCAGGCGCTCCATCGTGCATGTACCACATATTTACTCTTACGTCCAAATGTATTTCTTCCAGCAATTCCGGCAATACATTCTGCAAAAATTCAAATATGCCTCTCCTGTCAATCTGCCTGGTAAGGTAAAAGGTCCTGTTAGATGTTAGGTCCTAATATTCCATACCAAACATTTATCGAAAAACCATGCTGGAAATTTGATGTCTGTGTGACATGTGGATTTTATTCTGCCCAGTTATGAAAATTATGTGCATTAAAAATGCCATTTCTAGGAAAGCATGCCTCATCCATAGCTAAAATTCTTAAAATAAAATGAGGGTTGCGGTCAGTTTTAGTTAAAAACCATCTACAAAAATTTAACCGAGGGGCGAAACAACTGCTCTCGTAGAGACCTGTGAACAGTCCAATGAGACACTTCGACTTCTTGAGCTATGTTTCGAGTACTACTTCTGGGGTCTTTTTCAACAATGTCTAAAATTTTTCATCTGCATTGACATCCACTTGTTGGTTTGGGCCATGATTTTCAGAACGAGGAATCACACTACCAGTTTGAATAAGAAGTTGTGAAACTTGAACGAATGTTCTTCTGTTAGGGACGTGCCGATGGGGAAAACGTTGACGGTCTAGCAGAATTGAGGCGAGCCTCTCTATAAATTAATAACATATAGTGATACTCACGTATAGTAAACATTTTAAAAAAGCAAGGAGAAACATCTCAAAAAAAGTAAATAGTGGTAGACAAAAAACACTCCGATATAGTCCAATTCCAAATACCAACTGAATTATGTATTAGTGGACAGCTTAATACCTCGTGTTATTCGCCGCGCCGTTGTCACATTGCTCGATATGAATTTTAAATTTATTACAACGCTAATAATTATTTCATGGTAATATATGGTATAATTAATCGAACTTTTGTACATCAAGTTTGAGATTTTGATAATTTTTTTTCTCGGGAATGGTTGGTTTTAGGACCCATGTCACATAAGGTTTTTTTATTTATTTTAATGTATTCTTTCGTCTGTTAAAATTAAGGCAGTCAAACTTCTAACACCCTGTATAACACTGACAAAAATATTTTTCCATAAATTTAATTAAACAATAGTTTTTTTAAGCGTGTTACAGGCGGAGCTCTTACTAATTAAATTTAGCCAACCCCGGTTAAGAGCAATTTTTTGCTCATTCTTCGCATCATATCTTGAACGATCGGTTGGCCGTTCGCTATATCAGTTTATAGCATATGATTTAAATTTTTACGAGCCTTGCGCAATAAATCACTAACAGACACTTCTCGCTGTTTAGCACCATATTTTTATATTCCACATAGTGAGGCTGAACTCTCGCCATCCACCGATTTTTACCGTGCTGAGTTTATTACTTAAATAGTTATACGATTTAGGCTTGTCTTTTCTTAGAATTCTTGTTCTAGTGCACCACTACAGTGTCTTCCAAAGATTTTTTTATTTCTATTGCAAAAGAAAAAAGAAATTCATGGTAATTTAATACAATTTTTTTTGTAAATGGTTACCTACATATTATAGTTTGTCTCTGGTTTGTTTCATAGTTTTTATATTTAAAAATAGTTGGCTGTGGCATTTTAAGTAATAAATATTTTATAATTTTGAAATGAGATATGTTAAAAATATCCAATTAAAAAATGATAGCCAATTTTTACATATCGTCTCCTTGTTTGACAATTTTTTACGTGATATACATACGTAGAACAATGTGGCGCAATTTTTATATGATTAATATATTTATAATGGGTGTAAGAGAATAGTTGAGATATCTAGGATCAAAATAAGGCGATTTGAACTTATATACAAAACTCAAGGCCTACTGATATTGCAACACTTTTACGTCTGAATTGGCAAGTAACAAGCACGCAAGGGTAGCTCCGGAAGTCAGTGGTGTAGTGTATTATTTTGAAATCTATGATTGTATTAGGGCGCCACTATATCTATTCAATCAACACAGATATTTATTAGGTGGATATTACTTCGAAGGTCGAGAAAAGAAGACAGTCAAATAAAACGAAGCAAATAAAAATTGCTATTTTAATACAAGAAGTTTAAAAAATTAAATTTTACAGCACTCGGTTTTTACAATATTTTGAACAGGAGTGTACAAGAAAAGTTTAACTGATCTTTACAATTTAGAGTCTGAAAGGAATAGGTTAGATTCACTTTACAACAATCAAAAAGTCTATTAGGGAAACCTGCATTTTTAACAAAGCTATCAAACAAAAGGAAGCAATTAAACGTTTGGAAAGTAAAAAGACACAGTTACTTACAATTTTAATAATTTTCTATCGAGAAGGGATGCACCTAACTGCACGTCTCGAATACCATGGAGATAAAATTAGTGATGGGACCATTCGAATGCAAGAATCGATATTCATTCGATTCTTAAAAGTTCTCGCTGTTCTCGAGAACTTTTATGCGGGCATTCGAATACTTGCGAATTCTTGATGAGGTTTCGAGTATCCCTCATGACAGGCAGATAAATGAACCAGACACTAGGCGGATGTGCTTTAGAGGCCAAAAATTGAATGTTTTTTAAGATTTGTTGTATTGCCAAATAATTTAAACTTCTTTTTGCACAGGGATCATATTGCATGTTTCTTATCATTACTTTTTTTAAAATAAAATCCCAAACTAATGATTAGCAGCCAGGCTTCATTTTAAAAATAATAAGTCAATAATTATAAAATAACTAAAAACATTAATATTTCGTTGCGAGGCTTTTATTACGTTAATTACTAACTGCTAGCTAACCGTCGTTGCGAGTACGAGAACAGAGTTGAGTTATGCAAAATAAGAATATCCCGATGATGCATTCGAATCCACACCGTGTCGCCAATATACACCGATTCTGCATTGCCGCTGTTCTCGAGAACAGGACTCGAGTCCTGTGTTCTCGGATACCTACTCATTCGGTCTCGGTTTTCGGTGGGTCTAGTCTTCTATCCGGTACTCGGTTCTCGATCTCGGTTTCGCACCGATTCTGCATTGCTGCTGTTCTCGAGTTCTGTGTTCTCGAATACCTACTTGTTCGGTCTCGGTTCGCGGTGGGTCTATTCTTCTATCCGGTACTCGGTTCTCGGATAATCATTCGATTCTTAAAAGTATTCGAGAACCGAGTTCTCGATTCTTAAAAATACTCGATTCTGCCCATCACTAGATAAAATCAAACGGAAAGGGCAAGGAAAAAATTAAAAAGAGAAGACAGCATTCTAGATCGTACGATTTCTGACGGTATGCGCGGTGCTTAGAGTATAACTTGAGTGGTATTACTATGAGGCTATAGAATTAAATGAAATTATTTTTTTGAAAATAGAGTAATTTTTATATCATCTTTAATACTTATCTCATTCATATGATGAAAACTTTATTGCAACCACCGACTCCACCGATACATCTACCTCTGTATGCAGTTGTTGGTATATGCCTATTTGGAAATCACTATACAAGAAGATATACAGCGAACTAACAGTGTTACAGTATTGATTTGACAAACTGTTCTTTTACAAAAAAAAAGAAAAAGTTCGTTAAATAATAATTTCCACAATAAAAATATACATGTTTCTGTATTGACAACTAAAGTAGAAGTAGAAGCATTTTAGGGAGTAAGGAAATATAAAACTCTGGAACACTGTACTTCGGTACATTTAAAATCGAAAATTTTAAAGAATTTTACCAGTTAAAATTTAGTCAATGCACTTTGCAATAATCAGTATATGTTTCGTCTTCTTGCTAAGTAACCTATTTTTTTTTCCAGATACATGAAGTACCTCTACCCCTACGAATGCGAGAAGCGTCGGTTGAGCACTCCGGCCGAACTGCAGGCCGCCATCGACGGCAACCGTCGAGAAGGCCGCAGAAGCAGTTACGGTCAGTACGATTCCATGCAGAGGTCGCCCAACCCCAACCTGCAGATGTCCTCCTTGTCGCTTGTATCCCAGCAGCAGCAACAACAGCTGGCCGCCCGTATGATGGGTAGCGGCATCAACCTGCACAACGGAGCGCACCACCCCAGTCATCCCCAACCCATGGGGCAACCGATAAATGGAGGACCGCTCCCTGGTCTAGCCCCTAGCGAATTCGAGGCCCGCATGATGGAGTACGTGAAACTCCTCAACAAGGAAATCAGGAGTTCGGCTGCCACGCCGCCCAGGCAAGGCGACGTTTCGCCGCCGAACGCCACTTCCCCCCTCAATCAGTTGGAAATGTCGCGGATGACGCTTTGGAATTTATATAACAACAATCAGCCTCCTGTGGAGCCGCAGAAGGAGCCAATGAATCTGTCGGAACCATCGGCGACGGTGAAACGGGAGCCAGAGTGCCGAGATTCACCACCACCCGCGAAGAGGATGTCCAAAGAAGAAGAAGAGCCCGAACCTCCTAAGGAGCACTCTCCTGCGACACATATCAAGATAAACAGTAGAGGTAAGAAATCGTTAATAATTCCTAATGACAATTAATTCATTCATTCGTGAGGAAATTGGACAAATTCTTGAATATTTAATTAATTGTGGATAAATTTGTTGAATTTGGGTCTTATCACTTGAGAGCAGTCATTAATACGCACAAATCAGGACTTTTAGACTATACAGTTATCTGTATTACCATTAACTTGTGAAGACTCACTGAGACATGATGGCGAATCGCCAGTAACAAGTAATTGCTCCAGTAAGCCACTTCTAATCTGATACCATCAACCGGTTCCGAGAAAAAAGGCATTGTGCTTGTTGACTGGAAACAACAGAACATTTTTGTTAGATTTTTTAACCTTCAATAATAAGTTGGCTGAACAATTTCCGGATTGGTTGCCATGTCATCGGTTTTATAAGCTTCTTGACGTTTCAAGACATGTATGGCTTTCTTTTTCAGAAAGCATCTCTGAAACCAGAGATTAAATCTTGTGGTTAGTATTTATATTTTCCGTAAGCATTGCTGCTTCTAATCATTGATCCGTGTCTTTCTGGTCCTTGATTTTTACGGATAAATCGTTTCCAAATTTCATATAGTTCTAAACCCTTGTCTTCATTGAAATTATCTCGATTTTTTGGGATTTCTATTGCCTCTGGCGAATCTTGGCTAAAATCTTTCTCTCTTTCTCTCTTTCTCTCTCATTAGAATTCTGGTATTAGATAGGATCTTTCGCGTGTCCTATATATGCAATGTGTTCCGCAACTGCTAATTTTTCTACGTTGTATTTCTTCAAGTTACACCTGTGCTCCTTTTTTTAATCTCATATTGACGTGTTTTCCCGTTTGTCCAATGTATACTTTTCCACATAGGTATACACGAGTAAATCGTTCGTGAAGCTCTTCCTTGAACTGTTGTACATGGTATTAATATTGTATTTCCTTAAGATACGATCAGTATACAGGGTGTCTCATAATTAGCTGCCAACCCTGAACAGGCCGATTCTATGATCAAAACTAAGTAAAAAAGTTCATATGAACATGGGTCCGGAAATGCTTCCTAAGGGCACAGGGACCCATTGAAGAGGGAGGAATGGAAATCATTTTTTTGCAATATCTCTCAATCGCGTTGTGATAAATGAATGAAATTTGGTATACACAGCTAAATTTCAATG